TAACCAGACTTAATAAGGGGTAATCTTATGTTTGGAGGGTCTAGTGGTAAAATGGTCTTTTTCCAGGCTAAGGGTAAAATTATAATTAACCTAAATATTTAATTAATCAATCAATTAATTAATATGGTGGAGGGGCAATTTGGGTGTAAAGGGCCGAAATTGATCCTTTTAAGCAAAAGTTACGACCGTTTGAAAATGACCAAAAACTCACTTTTAAAATCTGGAAATTTTTCAGATTTCTCTTTTTATTTCCAAAAACATTTTTTCTTGATTTTCTAGCTTATTCTTAGTTATTTCAAGTTACCGGATGTTACAAAAATTTGCAAACACCATTTAATCTGTTGGGTATGTAGCAAGAATTGATGGGAAATAGAGGGAATGAGAGGAATTTGAAAAGTTTAGAACTTGAAAGGTTGGGAACTTGAAAAGTCCTCTAATACTTTAATAAAAAAGGCAATAGTCCCTCATCGGTAATGAAATGAAAATAGGAGAGTTTAAATAAATAAACACTCCTATTAATTATTAAAAGGGTTGGAAAGAGGGACCCCCCTCGCGCCGTCGTCGTCGCTCGCTTCGGCTTCGGCTTTTGCTTTTGCTTTGGCAAATGATCGATCGAGAGATAATTTTTTGGACAAATTTATTTTAATTATTTATTTAATTGATTAAATGGCCAAAAATTATTTTCAATTAATCAGTTGATAACAGAAATTAACCGAAATATTTTCAACTTTTTAGTTAACCCGACCCGACTCGGATCCGCGCGCGTGACCCGTTTTAAATTCCGTTATAATTAAAAATTCCCGCCATTGTTCTGAAAGGTTGCAACTTTCAGGAACAGTCAATACCATTTGAAAGTTTGCAACCTTTCATTAATGGTTGTGTCAATTCTGAAAGGGTTGCAACCTTTCAGAATATATTATTTTTGCCTATAAATACCATTCAGTCTTCAGAATATTTATTAACGAATTTTCTGATATTTCTTCTTCTTAAAAAACACATTTTTCTCCGTGTACTTTCCTGTTGTGGATTGATTCGCTGACAGTTGAGTTTTTGGTATCTATACTCTACTAATTAAGATCATTTTACCCTGGGAGGTTATATTCCAAATCAAACCTCGGATACTAGAGGGGAATAATTTCATTAAGGGGACACTGTGAATTCAGTGGACTTGATTTTCTTCCTAAATTATCAAAAAGTGTATTCAAGATTCTGTTAAGTTTTACAGATTAAATCTTTTTTACAAATAAATTTATGTTCATCTTATTTACTGGTTCTAAAAATCTCAGTTGTTTCGTGTTTCTGAATGATTTATTACAACCAGTAATTTCTGATTTTCTTAACACAGATTGGCAACATAATCCCCATCTAAGACAGGAATTTGGAGGAGATGGTAGGCCAAGGAACAATTTCAAACCAATTGGAGAGTCTTGCACTAGTTTATTTAATAAATTTCCTTTTTTTGAGTCATTAATAGTGAAATCTTGACCATTTTGGTTCTTGAATTATTTTTGCTCAATTTCTGCTCGGGTTGTGCCCATCTTTTGGGCACAGGATCCTTGAGTTGAATGAGACCTATATGTAGAGTAAATATCGCGATACCTTGCACAGATCCCACAATGTCATTTTGACTTGTTTTTAATAAATTTCAAATAGTTCTAAAAAGGTGTCACAGCCTTCATATTGATTTTATGATCATATATTTTTCAAAAGAGAAAAATTGGAAAAGGTTCTGAAGGGTAAAACGCTAATTTGATAGATTTCGGAGCGCACGTGATCAACATTGAGGTAGGCTATGGCTTACCAATCTTACATTGTGTTTGTTTTGGTATTAGGATATTTTTTATATAGTTTTGAGAGGGTTCATAACATGATGCATATATAGGTGATAGAGTTCTTGCCTTTGTTAACATTTTTGGGTAAATATTTAGGAAATTGAGCATGTTTTTACCCTGCATCTGCTACCTATCACTCCATGTTGATATTTTATGTCTTATATTACCAGTTGTGAGATTTTTCTTGATTTAACTAGTGTTAGACTAGTTGCTGCGATAGAAATGTTATTTGGAGGCATTTGCCTTAGAAAATCATCTAACATCAGCTCAAATGGTTCTAGCTTCTTGTAGACTAATGTAGAAAGACTTAAGTTTGATAATGTGAACCATATATCGATGGAAACTCTTCGCTTAGATTTTCATCCATAATCTATGGTCCTGGTATGGTTTTGTCATGACTTTGTCCCTTGCTGGATCCTTTTGATTTAAACTTGGGTTTGGAGCTAGAGTGAGTCCTATGTAACTCTAAGGATGGTGTTGATTCACAATATTTTGTTATAATGATGATCGTTATGTTATGGGATCATCTGGATTGTGCGAGCCATAGTTCAAGGTTCGAGCGCATTTCTACTAGCCGCAATTTGAGTCTAGACATACTTCTATTAGTCGAGTTTGAGTCCTAATATCTTAGTTCTATTGGGTTTTTCAAGGTGGCTTCACCTCGGTTTGTGTCCGCACTCGCCCATTTCAGTTCAAGAGTATAACAAATCTTAGTACTTGTCAGGCTTATTAGGGTTCGTTTGGGTTATTTTCATTTTAATTGCATACGAGAGTACCTTTTGGGTTTATAGGGATACAACTAGGTTGTAGTTAGCTGCTTTACTTTATCGTTCTACTTCTTTTTATATTATTGAATTACATCGTTAGGATTATCATTATTCTTCCTGTCCTCTGAATCTTTATTGTTGTTTTACTTGTCACTTTACTTTATGCATTTAATTTTCATACTCAGTCGGCCGATGATGCCTACTGAATTCCTATTGTCTCGTTACACATATTACACTCTAAATTTATTCTTCTTGATGAAAATTTGAGCACCGTGTGATTATGTTGATCTTGTGTATAGCAACTAGGATATTCGAAGATTGAGGGTGTGCTGATGGCATAGTAGATTGACTCATCACCATTTGTATATCATTTGGGCTAGTCTGTTGTATTTGAGATAAGTTTTTACCTATTTTGGTAAAAAAAATTGAGCTTGAACTTGCGTTAGTAGCTTGTACCATCGTCACCCGGTCGTGGGATTGGATCTTGTATTGTTTATCTTTACTTTATGTTATATATCTCTTCCATTGTTTATTTCCTTATTATATTGCGCGTTCATTTGAATTTTGATTTCTTCCAACTAAGCCCGCTACTTGTCGTTACTAGCTATGGATTGGCTTACCTACTTGTGTAGTGTTGGTAAGTGCAACGTGACTCAAGTTTTTGGACTGTGACAGACTCTCTAAGTTATATTTGTGTCAAATAAGTGGAAACCAAAAGTAAAAAATATTGGACTAGTGCTAAAAGGGCTCATATATGTATATATACTAGTTCTTGGACATGTATTTGCACGTGTATTCCATATAATTTTAAACTATACAAAAACACATAAATCAAATATAGGAACATGTGTGTTCCAAACATATATAGTTTATGTCCACACTTTAAAGTAAAATATGCAAAGGATTTCACAGATCAATTACTTCTATCTGAATTTGTGTTTTATTACAACATAAGCTTTTTAGAAATACATATTATACTAAAAAAAGTGAAAATTTCGATAGCTTAGCAATACTACAAAAAGTGGTAAATATTTGTAGCTAAAGCGATTGGAATGGATTTACCTGAAATAGACTCTTCTTGGAGGAGAAATTTAACCAGAAAAAGGCAAATGGAAATAAGACAAATACACCTTATAATGCACTTTATAATGTATTTTAAAGAACATGAAAAGATTGACCTGAATAAATATCACGGAGAAGATAAAACTCTGACTTATGTACAAGTATTAAAAATTAAAACTTATTAAATGAAGAGTTAAGAAGATGGTAAAGAACATTTATTATCGAAGATGAAAGAAAGAATATTTAATGAGTAAAATAATTTAGGAAACTTATACGCATGTGACCTGACCATAATTACTTGTTGTTACCCCATGCTTTCCTCACTCTCACCAAACGTTTTTGTTACAGAAGGTGAAAGAGATAAATAAAATTATGGCAGTAAACATTTTAGAAAGCATTAATATAGTATTTGGGTTCATTGAATTTGAGGGGATAATGAATTTTGTTATATTTAATGATGTAAATAGAAGTTATCTAAATGAAGATTTGCTTTAACTTTAAGGATAAAATGGTAAATTAACTTTTGATTCATTATAATGGATATTAATTACTCCCTCCGTCTTCGCATTTCGAGATTTAAACAAGTCTATCTTTGACCGTAATTTTTTCATAGATCCTTTTAATATTTTGAATTATCAATTATTGTGATTTATAGTACTCTTTACGTAGTTTACAAATATATAAATTTCATTTCAAAAATTTTGAAAATTTCATACACAAATTTTCGATCAAAGTTAAACTATTTTCATATTCTCCTATATATATTGAATCAATTACTTAGACTTTAATATAATTTTATAAATATAATTCATTTGAAAAATTTTACACCTTTGCACGATAGGAGTAACTGAGGTACACCTAAGGGTCATTTTAATTGTTGCAAAACTATCGATTTCCTTATGCCATTTAAGAGGATATCATTCCATTGTACCAATATTCGTCGTATCTAATACTAAATTCATAATATTAATATTATTATCATAATATATTATGATTAATGTGTGAATCTATATTTTGTTCATGATAAATATGTAATAATAATAGTGTTTAATAGAATACAATCTCTTATTTGGATTTAATGTATATTTACATTTTTGTTCATAAATATTATGATATTATAAGCATATTTTTGTGATTCATTTTTTAACATTGAGGCTTCTCACTTATAATATAATATGATATAGAGAGAGTGACCATCACTAGGAAATATTTTTTTTGGACGTTTAAACAAGCAAAGAGCGATATATCCAATATTAGTATTACTAATTATCTTTAATTGAAACATGTGATTTACATAACGTGAGACCAAATTCATTTTAATTACATACATAAAGCAATCTAGTCTAGAAAATGATTCCATATATATCAGCTTATAGAGTTGTCTCAGCTCATTACAACCAAAACTAAACAAAACATGTGGCCTAGCAAGATATTGCAGTCATTACTAAAACCATTGACCATATCTTTACACACTGTCCAGCTGCTTCTAACTTTTGGATATCATCCTCAATCCTACAGAAACAATACAACTTACTAATGGATAATAATAATAATTAGGGGAGAGGGAAAAATGGTATGTTTATAGGTCATTCAACCAAAGGGGCTAAATAGTAAAGAAAAGAAGTGAGATGATCTATTCATATTCCTACAATAAACACAAGCTTAAAAATTTTCTCGCACTGTTTTGGACAAAGAATGCATTGGCAGAAACATTTTTAAAAACCTAAAAGGAAAGATCAGGAGGAGATGCAGCAGCCAGCGCCTTGGGCAGCAGAATCTGAATGGTGTCCAGGAACTATGATCCTTGTTCCCTTGAGCGATTGTGACTTTGCGTACTCTGCACCTTCGTCTGCAATGAGAGTTTTCTTGCCAACAATTTGATAAATTTCTTTTAATATACTCATAAATGCAGTCTCAACGTTGGTGGATTCAAGAGCTGATGTTTCCATGAAGAAGAGATTCTCCCGTTCTGCAAATTCTTGAGCATCTTCTATTGGTATTGCTCGAAGACTCCCTAGATCACATTTGTTTCCGATAAGCATTATAACAATGTTCTTATCTGCATGACCCCTTAATTCCTCCAGCCATCTAGCCATATGATCAAATGATTGACGTTTTGTCAAGTCGTATACTAACATTGCACCAACTGCACCTCGATAGTATGCACTAGTCACTGCTCTATACCTGAGAAAATGTACTCTTACAACTATATATGTATGCCAACAATCGCAATTAGTGTAAAACAGGACATACATAGAGATCCCCAATTAATTTGACAAAGAAAAGAATTAAAGAGGACCACAATTATCAAGTGTGTTTTAGTCATGTTCTAATTCTAAATATGCAGATGCACCATTAAAATGCAACAACCATATGTATTAAATTGCTGTAAAAACAAGCAAGCACTGCACTGGGCAAAAAATGCAAGGTTATGAATGTATAATATAGATAAAAGAATAGCATACCTTTCTTGTCCAGCAGTATCCCAAATCTGTGCCTTGACGGTCCTGTTATCAATAATTAGAGTTTTAGTCTGGAATTCGACCCCAATTGTAGCTTTTGAATCCAAATTGAATTCATTCCTTGCAAATCTAGCCAGAAGCTGTGATTTACCAACTGCAGAATCTCCAGTCAATACAATCTTAAATACATAATCTATTTTTTGATTGTAATCTCCATATAAATTTGACATTATTTTATTTTGACATCAATTTCAAATCAAGCATATCATTCACGCTTATCCAAATTTATTATATATATTCAACAGGTAAATTCGATGCTTGATTAGGGTTTCAGAGAAATGATCACAACATTCTACTTTTGCGTCAAAATATTTTGGTTTAACATGTTTGACAAGAAACAACTTGGCCAACATCAACGGTTACTGCGTCACCCATTAACCGTTTTTGAGTATAACAAGAAAATACAACCTCTGTTTATTATGTATTTGGGGTAAAATAAATATGATTAAATTTAGAGCATTTTTATTTGTCATGTTTCACTTTTCAAAAGTAATTACACTAATTTTAAAATTAAATTCGATAGATATTCAAAAACTATACGAGAAATATGCAATTTTTTTCATATCAATATGATGAAAATATACATGGTAAAATATTGATCAAAGTACTTATAATTTGACTCTAAAAAGAAAATCCTGACAATTAATTGGTGTGGTTTCACAAATATTTAAATAGGATTGTTCCTTCACCAATGTAGGAGACACTCGAATAAAGTGATATCTACATTCTACTCTCCATATCTTTTTGTGTAGTATATTACTCAAATTTTACAACATGTTATTAGCAAGAGATTCTAGCCAATTGAGATTGAGTTTTAGTTTTTCTATAACTCATGTTCTGATTGATCCCGTTATGAAAATTGAGAAGAGAAAATGTAATTGTTGCAATCAATAATATTCTAGGTTTAAAATCAAGTATGTATTTTCTAGAATTTTTTATGATTTAAAAAATAAGTTTAAATGGATAATCTACAATACAATAGTGTACATCATTAACATTGATAATGAACCAAAGATGTATGCTACACTATTGGTTAAATATTCTCTGCTCCACGAAATTTCTTCCGTGGAAGAAAGTATAAAGTTTTGGTAGCATAAGGTAACGTTAATTTTTAGGATACTTTGCTTTAGTTTATTTATTATCTAACGCTACTTGATTTTTTTAAGAGTATGTGTACTTGAAAGTTAAAGTACAATATAGTCACTGCGACAATATTTGTGAGGATGGCCAACGCGAGTCTATCTAGATGAAGAAAGTCTGAGATAAACTTGGACCTTGGATGTTGCCTCATGTTTTTCAGGAATTGCATTAGTATTGAAACGTAGATGAATTCAAAGCTCTGTTCACCGAAAGTGCAAAGAGCGTTTAAACGATTACAACGGTGATGATAAATTCACTAAAATCTAACTTCTAATAAATATTTCTAAACAAATTATTAGTTGAATAGTTCTTATTGATTAATATCGGCTAAAATTCTATTTATATTTGCAGGGGTGGAGTGAATTGGGGTGCACTACCCTTCATAATAAGGTTTTCAAGAAAACTCATATGAAGCTTAATAAGTCGAATCCGAATAAGTGGGTGGAAGAAAGAACCGAACAAACTTATGTAAGTTATTTAATTTAAAATTTCAAGATATTGAAATGGCGATTTGGCCTAGTTGACACTTGAAGAGTCCACTCAAATTCGAACTAAAAATGTGGTAAGGGCTCACATAAGGGCAGAAACTATGGGGTGGACTCTTAGAACAATGTACAATGGCTCCGATCAGGTTTAGAAGATATTGAATCATCACGCTAAGAAGAGACATTTGATGGTGTAAGTGCTATGTCATCACAAATAGCAAAACATACACATGCATTGACAAAAAGAATTGGTGAAAAAGAAGGCATGAACCTGGAGACTCTTGTGTTTTTGGAAGATGTGATGCTTTAGAAAGACTATGACTATGGGACAATCTTAATCATATCTCTAAGTCAAGATCAGTGACCATGACTAGTGAGAGGAGATTTCGATGTCATATTGAATGAAGAAGAGAAGCTGGTGGATTAGTTTTTTCTCATAATGAAGCTGGAGAATCTGCTCAATGTTTAAGGGATTGTGTATTGACAGAAAGCAAATAGTACATAGGTAGCAACTTCATTTGGTGGAATGAAAGAATAGAGGAGTGCATTTTCAAAAGATTGGATAGGGCAATGGGCATTCAAGAATTCTTACAGAACCTTCCAACTATTGAACTACATCATTTGAATTAGTAGAGTACAATGGAAACACCAAATCTAGGATTTGGCACAACACAAACTGAGAATTCTGATTCACAAGTACTAAACAGCACTATTTTAGGCAGTCAGCAAAACATTGAAAGCCTTTACATTGATCAAGTTTCTTTTACTGCAGTCTGATGCGATCGAGGTTATCAGAAACTGTTCTCATCCTTGGCCGAAGCTCAGGATCCAGTTCTGTGCAGTTGAGAGCGATATAAAATGCTGCAACAACTTGCTTTTTAGCATGAACCTCATTCAAGAGAGCAGGGTCTATGATCTCAGACAAGGGTCGTTCTTGTCTAAAAACCTTTCTAACAAGACTCTCAAGCCCCTTCCCATCATCCTCCACTTCCGATCCTCCATTTGCCAACCGACCGGTCAGAATCTCCAAAAGCACCATACCAAACGAGTAGATGTCGCTTTTCTGGGTGAACTTGGAGCCAGGCACTCGATCCTCAGGTGCCATGTACATAGTACATGACGAAGTTGAGTTTTGAGGACTTACTATGATTTGACTTGTACTTAGCTTTTTCGTACTACTGTTTATGGGCTTGGAGCAGCCTAAAACAAGGCGAGTCAATCCAAAGCCAGATATGTAGGCTTGCAAGTCATCATCAAGAAGGATTTTTGTTGAATTTATGTTCCCATGAACATACTTCCTGGGATTACACTCATGAATGTGCATTAGACCCCGAGCTGTTCCTTGAGCTATCTTCAGTCTAGCTGCCCATGATAGAGGCGGCAAGCTATTACCAAGTCCTCCTTCAATTGTAAAAAATAAACATAAAAAGATTGATTAACACGGATAACGTTCCAATATAAAAAGAAAATCACCAAGTTCTCTAGAAAAATTAGCTCTGTGTGTTTCTTTTTTTTGGACTTGTGTGTGTTTTTTCTTCATGAGAAATTTTTTACCGAAAAATGCAAGTTTTTAAATCCAAAAAAAATATTTTTGGACTTGTGGAGGATAAATTAAAAAGTGATTCATGCCAAACTGACGACAACTTTTCAGAATAATGAATAGAACGATTTTCACTTCAAATCCTGAAATTGGTACAAAAATATGTGCTTGAAACAATGGAAGTCCGAGTCAAGGAAAACAAGAAATAGGTTAGTTGGTATTTTGTCGAGACAAAATTTACCAATATGAACTAGAGGAACCACATTCTCAAGAAGCCACCCCAAAAGTAGGTGCAATCTTCATTTCCACTTGCGTATATATAAGATTGGTTCACAATTGACTATACCAAATTACGAGCAAAATGGGAAGGATTATGTCGAAAAGACTTGTACACAAAGATTGAAGTTAAGAAAAACAGACTGGAGTTAAAATGAATATTGATGTTTTTGTGAAGTGCAAGGTTCTGAAAATAAAGAGAGCAAAATACAAGGCTAACACAAGTCCAATAACTGCCTATTCAGGTATTCTATAACCACAATACAAATTATACGTACATTAAACAACACCTCTGAATAACAAGACAAACAAACTAAAGGAAAAGGGAATGACTAACCAAGACTTGGAATCTGATGAAATTTCGTGTCTTGCTTATTATCTTTTTTGTTTTCTATTTACCAATCAGAAAGCTTAACGTCGTGGACTTCTCCACTTAGTTAAAAAAGAATTTGAAGGTAAAAATAACCTTTGGTGTATTAGTTTTCTTCTCAGTGTCAGCTGAATGTCTCTTTTACATAAAGTCCAACATCCTAAAGTGAACTTGACAATAATAGATGTTACAAGGAGAAATTAGTCGCTGTATTGTTCTGCACAAATTGCGGACTTACGATTCATGTTTTATGTGTAACCATGCTTAGTTCAATTCCTAATGAATGTGAATCGAACATATAGCTTACCATCCAATTGATAGATCTAATGTTTTTTTCCTTGGTGTAACTTCCAAACGTTTACTTCAACTTTAAAGCCTCTCTCAATATATCTAAGGCCACATAAAATGTACTCCCCATGAAGCAGAAAACAGGCACAAAATGCCATAATGGGGACCAGAAACTAGTGAATTACAATAAACCAACAGATATTGAATTGTGGAGCCCAAAAGGTCTCAAATAGCTTAACACTTGCGTAGATGTTCTCCAGGAAGCAGAAAACACGAAAGCCAATTGCTTAGATAAAAACAAATGAACCATGCACGTATTATTCCCCTCCCCTCCCCTCCCCACCCCACTACCCCAAACTAGTTCTTGTTCATCATGATTTACATTCGGTTGCCTATTCTTGATAAAAGAAAGATAAGGACGGTAAGCAGCTAATGACGTAAAAGCATATAATTTGGGATCATTAATACTTTCTAAAGATAGTTGATGCTTAAAACCTTGACAGAAATTGTTAAATGTGCCTAGAGAATACTTCAAGGAGTAATCATAAGCAGCTTTAAGAACATCTTACGTTGTAAATAATTCCAGACATTGATGTTCTATTTTGCATAAATATCAAATACAATGCCACCTTCAAGAACTAGTTATCCCAGAATTTCTAATATTAAAAGCTTATCCTTGTGTTTTAGAGTGAATATTCTTTAACAGTAAAGAAAATTCCACGTAAGAATGAAATGAGATTACCATGTAAAGCATTGTGCAGGGTGCTATTCCGGATGAAATCAGTAACCAGCAATTTCTCATCACTTGCATAGTAATAAGCCCTAAGCCTCACCAAATTTGGATGTTGTACTCTTCCAATCGCTTCCACCTCCATCTCAAACTCCTTCAACTTCCACGTCACATCCCCCTCGCTTAATCGTCGAACAGCAACCACCGTACCACCACCGGCCACCACCTTGTAAACTATCCCATTCCTACTCTTCCCTACAACATAAGCTGAAGCCCTTAACAAATCCTCTAGTTCCATTCCAAACCCCTCGTCTAACACTACATATTTACCCTTTTGCCCCTCCTCTGCCTTCTCCAACTTTTCTTTTCCCATTTTTCCCTCATCCAACTTCCATTTTCTCCTTAACACCCACACTGAAACAAACATCACCCCAATCACAACCGATACGCCGGAGATCAGAGAAACCACCACAGACCCATTTCCCGATTTACCTTTTCCTACAAACCCCACCTCCTCCTCATTAGGGTTCGGGTTCGGTGGTGGTTTTTGAGCTTCTGGTTCTGCACACGGAGTCTCC